GGTCTCCCATTACCACCCGGTTCAGTAAGGCCGGGGGATGGAAACTGGCAGGACCCTGTAGCTTCAGAGTGAGAGGGAGGGAGCGAGGGGAGGGGAGAGAGAGAGAGAGAGAGAGAGAGAGAGAGAGAGAGAGAGAGAGAGAACTGTTCCATAGTTAAAACCATGTATTGAAAATTACTGCTGCCACCACTCACTGAATTGAGTTACCGCCTTCCTTGAGGGACAGTGAGCGTTGCCGCTCGGACATCACGCGCGGGAAGTCGTTCTGGCTCCCCCAGCTCTCGTGAGGGGCTCTTTAAAAAGTTATGGCTGTCACCAGTGGCGGCAGCAATGGCGGTGGGGCCGAGCTACCTCCAGGGGCTTTCATTCTTTCCTGGGGCATGTCATTCCAGTCCCAGAACACTCCTGCTACCCTTAGGGGCTGTCATTCCACTCTGGGGCCTGTCATTTCATCCTCATAACCCATCTGCTACCTCCAGGGACTGTCATTCCACTGAGGGTCCTGTCATTCTACTCTCAGAACACATCTGCTACCCCTAGGGGCTGTCATTCCACTGTGGGGCCTGTCATTCCAGTCCATGTCCAGTGTATTTGGGACCAGTGACCTTAATGGAAATTCCATTCCTCATTTTCTTTGCAACTCTTCTTGAGCTGTAATGTATTTCAATGGAGCCCATGCGTTAGTTGTCATTCATGGCTCCCATTATTTCCAATAGGCCTTCAAGTCTCTCCCATTGTTTCCAATGGGCAATCCTGTCCTTCCTTTTAGTACATCCCTTTAAGGGGGCAGCTTTGAACTGCGCTATATGGTTCACGCAAGCCGTATTTCTCTGCCTCTCCTTCTGCCAGCTTGCAACATTGCGATAACAAACTGGGCTACCCAATGTTCCCTCTAAGCTGAGTTAGTCGAGCTAGCTCACAGTTTTTTAGACTTGGGCTCACAGATTTTAGTCTTAGCTCAGGGAGGAGGGCTCCAGAGCACACTAATTTATGCAGTAGCCAAATCACTTGCTCAGAACTTTAATGCCAGTAGCTCACAAAGTAGAATTTTTGCTCACAAGACTCCACAGCTTAGAGGGAGCATTGGCTACCACCCAGGGCTTTTGGAAACCATTCATTAACTAAACTACAGGGTGATGGTGGGGGTGTGATTTCAGTAATCAATCAGCTGTACAAAGTCTGACTATACTGGATAAAAATATTACATCTGCTCATATTTTTTTTGGTATGATCTGCATACCCTCTACTACAGGGATCCCACAGGCACCACGGCACCCACCGACTCCTTTCCTGATGCCAAGTGTTTTTAGAACGTTGGTGGTGCCATGAGCGGCTTTTGCCCTGCAAAGATTCTGACTGGCCACTGGAAATTTGATTGGCTGGGCATATTTTTTAAAATGTTGCTTTGACAGCAGTTGCCACCATAGCACAAGGATCTGCACTGTGACTAAAGGTAAACTGCTATTCTGTGCTGTCTCCACCTACTTCAGCAGGCATTTTGTGGCAGCTTCCTCCAGTGATGAGGTTTTCCCTCCCTTTTTTGCCCGTGCGGGCGATCTCCGTCTTTTTTTTTTTTTAAGTTCTTTTAAGAGCGCCTTGGAACTGTAGGCAGGCGATAAGCTGTAACTCTGTGCAGGGGATCCCCAGGTCCCACCTGGAGGCATGGCATCCCTATATACTGGCCATCAAGAGGAGGATGCTGTTTGCAAGCCTGGAAGGATCTAGTGTGCCTTGGGAAGGGTGGTGGTGGTGGTTTAAAATCCTGCCACAGGTTTTCTGTTCCTGGAATTCTCTGTAAAACGGAGGCTGGGAAAGAGGGGAACGAAAAGGCAGCCTGTTGTCCTATCCCAAAATACTGCGTGGGGTGGGGGGAAGCAGTTTGATTTAAGGTGCCTGAAGGAGAAAAATTAAAGGAAGAGATTTTTAAATTCCAGGCAGCCTGAAAGAGAGTGGAGTCACTGTGAGGGAAGGGGGTGGTGGAACAGGACAGTTTACAGACCCAGACAGCATCCCTTCCTCCCTTCCTATTGTTCCGAAATCAAATCCAGAAGTGTGTGCATGTGCGTGCCTGAGCTTCCACTTGTTTCCAAGTAGCAGATGTAGTGATCTCATGTATTTCAGTGGTCCAGGCATCCCAATGGGGTCACTATTGCGCTGTTTTGTGGTTGTGTTACAGTGCCATAGCACTCTTAAAAGAACATTAAAAAACAAAAAAAGACGGAGATCACCCATACGGATGGAAAAGGGTGGGAAAACAAAGCAGTGCAGTCTGAAATGACAAGCCTTCGGAGACGGCTCCATACCAGTAGGGGAAAGGCTGTGTGAAATAGCCGTCCCTGTTTATTCCAAGACGGTACAGTAACAGTTTTAAAAGGGTAATCTGAAATTCCCCTTTGTAACTGCATTGACCATGATGTGTCAGAATTCCAGATGTGCTCACAGACTCAGAAAGGTTGTGGACCTCTGCTCTGCTATGAACCTGCAGGCTAATTAGCTCAATAATTGCAGCTTGACCTTAAAAAAAAATTGGGTTTGAACCATTTGACTGTAACATAATGTGGTTATGTCAGATTTGCATAGTACAAGGAAGTCTTGTATAATATACTATCAACTTTTCCTTGTTTACAATTTGCTCAAATATCTAGTCAGATTCCAACTGCTCTTGCCCAAACTCCCTTTGCCAGAACACAGATACAAGCTCTGAAGAAAGAGGTTATGCCATTGCACCTTTCACTGTTCTTCTTCTAACAGAATTTTCTGTTTTAAAGTATGTGGTCTACACAGGAATTAAATACATGATCACCTAAAACAGATGCCTGAACTACTTACCTCAACAGCTTTTCCCATTACTTCTTTTATATATTTTTGTTCTTAAGCATGGCTGTGGCTTTGAACATAAGATACGTTTTCCATGGGGGACTATATTTATGAGTGTTAATTTTGTGTGTATGTGTGTACTCACCCCACCTGTTTCACATGTATTTCCTCTCTTATTAAAAAAAATAATATGGTCACAGCCCAGGGCTCCTAGTGTTGTTCAACAGCAATACATTCCAGAGGGGATTGTTGCAACAAAAAATAAGTAGTTACGGTAGCCCTTTAACCACTAAGAACATTTTATTCCAGCATAAGCTTTTGTTGAATAGAAGCATCTTCTTTGGATGCAATGAGTTCATTGGTAGAGTGGCAAGTACCCTTAACAAGGGTCCTGACTGGAGTGGATGCACCTGCAAAGCTGGGCAGGCAGCAATATCGTGGCTCCTCTGGATGTCATTGGTTTAGCTTTGCTCTTACATTACAGAGGCTGACTGTCCAGAATGGGAAGACTTAGTTTAGAACTTTGTGTAACTTTTGTTGCTTTGGGTCCTGACTGGAGAGAAAGTTGAGGCATGAATGAAGTAAATAATAAACTGTGTTATTGACCATTAAAAAAATTACTGTATGCGATGGTATCTCAGAGGAATGTAAAAGCAAATAGGTTATGGTTTATAGCTGTTTTGAATGCCAATAATTTACATACATACATACATACATACAATAACCAAGCTGTTGGAAATGTTTTCACTTATTTTGCCATGGACAGTAAATTGAGACAGATGCCCTTCTTATTAAGCAAATTCTGTTTTCTTGATTCTGATGGTTCTGTACCCTCTTAATTTCTTTATTGTGAAAGTCTTGATCCTTTCCTTGGGTTCTTAAATAAGCTCTTAGAGTTTACTTTGAATTCCAAGCCTCTCAAGAGAAATATAACATTACAGGAGAGTGAGAGAAGGTAGACGTTATATTAGAAATGGTCTTCCCATGCCCTGTACTAATTGAACTGTAACTATTGAAGATGTTACAAGTATCCATTCAGATCCTTTGAAGTCATCTCTATGAGGACAGAAAGTCCAATTTTTATTCCAATGACTGAAGCTAATTGTGTTTTGGTAGACAAATCAGAACATTTACCAGCACTGTAAGAAAAATGCTGTCTTATTTGTAGTACTGCTGTCTAAGCAGGAGCAGAAATGTTTTTGATAGTAATGTGAAATGCTATTGCAGACACACATCTTCTGTATTGTATGGAAAAACTACAGAGAGTTGCGGGAGAATCTCATTTTCCCCATCCCCATTATTTTCTTTTTCCCTTTCCTCCCATGGCAGCCTGGCCCCCGGAGAAGGATCTGGCTGAGTTGCATGGTGCCAGTTGCTGGGCTCGGCCCAGTTTTGCAATACTTGGTGAGCTGGGCCCAGCTGTTCAGTGCTGGTCAGGCTAGGTCCAGTTGCACAGTGGGGCCTCTATATCCTCAACTTTCCCTGCTTCATTCTATTTTTCTCATCCATCAGCCTACCTTTTACTTGCCACCCATCTTCAATTATATTATTTATTTACTTCATTTATACTTCAACTTTCTCCACAATTGGGACCAAAGCAGCTTATATCATTCTCCTCTCCTCACAACAACCTTGTGAGATAGGTTAGGCTGAGGACGTGTGACTGGCTCAAAGTCACCCAGTGAGCTTCCATGGCAGTCATAATTCAAACTTGGGCCTCCCAAAGGCCAAAAAGCCATGGATAGGGCCACCCCCCTTCTAACTTTTATTGACAGAAACCAAGGTTTGGAGGCTAGCAATACTGTTGTAGTTGCCTAGCAATGGCCACCAAGGGCATTCCTTTCTTAATGTTACACGTACTGCTATCATTTAGAAGTGTTTTACTTCCTGCCCCTTTTAATTTCAATCTTTTTCTGCAAATCTGGCTTTCTTCAGGTTTACAGAAAGATCTATCTTTATATATCCACATATGGGGCTATGCTAATAATTAGATATATTGACACCTACACTGAAATAAAAAGGAGAAGACTTAATTCAGATACCTTCCAAAACAGGAGTTGAATGTTCTTGGAACACCACACTTATCAATTTCCTGCACGCTTCCATATTATGCTGAGTTTGCAAAACTCATTCTAACTCTAAGCTCTCAGCAAGAATCACACACACAAAAGTGGAAAGAGTCCTGTAATTTACTAAATATGGGCCACAGAGAACAAAAATAAAGCAGATTTATTCAAACATATATAGCTGGAATACCCAGAAGCCAGGTCAGGGCTCCAGTATATTTGTTTCTGATTTATAGACATGTAATTGATGACAGTTCTTGTCTGTGATAAAAGATACAAAATTGAAAAAAGGAAATTGACAGTCTGTTCAGTTCTAACTGGTATCGTAAATACAATGGATTAAAAGAAAATAAATTAGGCTTCAATCCTGAAGTAGTCTGTAAACTTGTATCTTTCAAGCATTTTCAATATTGCAAGTGTACAAGTTAAACATACAGCTTCTGCTGTAGGAGATTAGTTCCTACAATTAAAATTCAGGGAAACAGAATAAAGGGGGGGGGAGCAAACCAGTAAAAGTGATACATAAAGCAAACATGAGTCTTTATCTTTAAAATTTGTACAATGCCCAAAATATACAAGTTATGATCTTTAAATGTGACTTAAAACAATTTAACATCTATCAACTTATGTAACAGCATATGTCCCCATTGTTTTTTCCAACACATAAGCATCCAACAACTGTGGCTATGTTTGACTCAGCAGTTCTTACTGATTAGCTTAGCTTCACGGAATGTGCAGCTTCTCTTCTTAACCATTTGTAAGAGGTGCTGACAATTATTACAAGGGGCAGGGGAATATATTACCTATCGGCATTTTTATTTTCTTGTGTTTCAGATCTCTTTTTTGTCATGGGGAAACAGGACATTTGCCCTTCTAAACTGTGCAAGGAGCTTGCATGGTGCCACTAGCTCATATACCACATCCAGTCACTAGTTTTTAGGACAATTTTAGCCCCAAGCCTCAAAAGTGCATTAATCAAAGAGCTGTTAACAAAAGTAATTCTACATCTTCCTTTTCTGCTCATACTATATTGTTGGGACTGAAAGCAATTCCCTTTAACACACTAGAAACATTAACCCTTCCCCCTTCCACACTTTGTCAAAATCTGGAAAAGCCTTATCCATTTCTCTTTGACACAAATAATTTCCATACTTAGTTTGATTAGCAACACAAATGTGACGTTTTCCTTATGCAGTCTATAATTTTGATTTTAATAATCTGCACTGAAACAATCTTTGCTGATAATGTTTGAGCACTACAAGAAGTACAAAGGATAGTTACTGTTACAAAGGCCACTCTCTTGGTCTCAAACAAAGCTTGGTCATATGGGAATTTCCTCTTGACATCTGTGCAGAGTGCTCGATCAGTTTCTCTAAGAGATTTTGTCCTCTGAAGAAAAATATATATGCTTTTTATAGCATTTTCATTCCAATAGTGTCCATCTAAGGTGCTGGTAGTCATTTTATGAAGAGAACATAAAAAGCCATGACAATGCAGGATATTGCCACTGCTGCATGGAGTCTGGTTCCAATCACTGCCGCTGTAAAACCAAAAGATATTACTTGTAACAGATTACAGAATACACATTCATTGTCACCATTTCCATGACTAACAGATAAAACATCTGACTTGCTGCTTTATTGTTACACTAGAAATAAGGCCCGTTGTGGAAATAAATACAACGGGATCTAGAAAGAGGCTCTGGGAGAGTGCTCTGGCTTTGGGCAAACAGTGTCAGTCTGCTTTTAAAATACACAAAAACATGACTCATAGTGCAAATTATTGGGCAGTTCTAGGTGTCCATCACCTACCATGCCTGTAACTGTTCAGTGAAAAATATAAATCCCATCTAAATTTGACAAAGTTATCACTGTACCTCAATAAATACTAATAACAGAAAAAACCCACCAGGAATGGTTATTGCAATCTGATCAAGATATGTTCTGAACATTCAGAGAATAAACATGAGAATAAAAAGTTGTTATGCACTTGTTTTGCTGTGTTTTAGAAAGCCCAGGAGTAAGGATTTCCACTCTCAAAGCAATTCTCTGAACAGGGCTCAAATTTCACCAATAGTGGCAGCCACTGGTGACAGATTTTGCCTTACAAGGGCATTGGCTTTCTGGCCCTAAACATAGTTTGGTCATTTGAATGTAATGTATTTGACATGCCATGAACAACACTGAAGACTGTCTAAAGTACTTGATACAGTCTCTAAATCTTACATAAAACTTCTACAGGAAAACATAAGGAAGTTACAGAGTAACAATCAAAAGCAAGAACAAATAACCAAATCCTAGCATTTGTTTTTCCCCCTCCTACCATTAGTAATTAGTTACTAGATCCCAAACAATGCGCCAGAGTGTTTTTATGTCCTATGTTCTGCAAACAGAGCAGAGTTAAGTATCTTGGCAGACTCAGACCCAGAGGAAAGATTAAGAAAGGCTTATTTTAAAATCCGGAGGGAAGATCAAGAGCTTATTTACATGCTCTGTAAGTCACATTCTGTGATGACAGCCACTTCACCTAATTTATTTTCACATATTAAAGCAATGGTGGATACAGAGAAATTAAAAGTTTCTTAGTAGTCTGTAGAAAGGAATGTCTCAGTTTATTTTTCACAATAGAGTAAATAAAAACATCTCTAACACTATAAGCATTCGCTTAATCTTGCAGTGAGATTCAGAAATAACTATAAAGTTGCAGTGGTTTCAGTTGCACCCCAAACCATTACTTTCAAGGGTCACTGGTGCACTTGAACTGGTTGAAGTGATACACACCAAAGTCACACTTGGGGAGATAGAGCACATTAATTCGTGCAGCTCAGTTCTCCCAAGACTCAAGACCATTTCACATGCCACAACATTCCCATTTGTAAAGCACATGCAGGTAGGAATACGTTGACACCTATAGCAGTTTACAATTCAACTTCCCGTTGTTATAAACGCTCTCATGACTGTTCCAGAAACCACTGAACTTCGTTATCTCCTGGAAGTCTCTGAAGCCCTTTGACCAAGGCTGAATTTTTACCCGCTTTAATGCAAGATTCGTACCTTTGTAAAATACCCCCCAGACCCCCCTCTTCTCCGACAGCAGCCAGGCTTTCAGCCGAGGGACCTTCCGGAAGTAGGCGCAGGTGCACACGAACAGCAGGCTGAACACCAATAACCCGTCCAGAGAATACACTGCAAGGAAGGCGAAGAAAGAGAGTCACCGCGGTGGCAAGGCCACACCTAGCTTTGCCACCCGCCCGGGGGACTGAAAGAAGGGGGTCTGGGCAGGCCTCACATAAACCTCAGGCCCTCCGGATGAGCCAGTCCACTGCAGGGCAAAAGGGAGGGGGCACTGAATGGGCCTGCGGGGAATTCTGCGCAGAGCCGCCGTAAACCACAAACGCAAAGGTCCAGCCAATAGGCCAAGCCAAACCATTCCCAGCTCACCGTTGGCCATGACGGCTACCCGCAAGGCACAGTCCAGGCCCCCTCACCGCATCTCCTTGGATGAACCACCGGCCAGCGCGGCACCGGATCCACTAGACAGTGCCAGTTGAGCTCCGACGAACTTACTCTCTATGATGGTTCGTTTCTAAGGGAGCGGCGCAATTGTTTCAGGCAGCACTAGCAGAACACAGATAATTCCGAATCGGGTATTTCTAGAGATTTGGCGTTGTTGTTGTTCAGTCGCACAGTCGATTCCGACTCTTTGCGACCCCATGGACCTGATGACGCCAGATCTAGAGATTGGAGAGATTAAAACAAAAAACAAAAAAAAACCCTGCCAATGTGACAAGTCGAGCTCCTGCTTACTTTTGGCGGCATCTTTTTTTTTAATTAGAAAAATTTTAAGCGCTTCCACGCAGAGTGTATACTCAACAACAAGTATAGTGAATGACTTATGTTTATTATTTATTTGAATACATTAGTTAAGTTTAGATGATTTAGTTGATCATGAGTTGGGGGGTGGGGCAATATATGTACTACATTCTTAAGCCCTTTCCTTTCAAATTTAGCCCCTGTGCGCCTAGGAATTACATTTCAACACTGGTCTGGTTTGAGGTTGGCACAGAACAGACAGACCCGTAAACAAATGTGTTGTGTTGTTGGGCCGGGAATATGTCAGAGGCAAGACAGGCTGGCTTGGGCTGCTTTTTCCTGTCTATGAAGAAAAAGGCACGCAACATCCCACACTTATCATAAGAGGTAATATGCAGGGGCAAAGAGGATATTAGGGAGAGAGTAGGGTTGCCAACTCAGGTTGGGAAATTCTTGGAGATCTAGGGATGGAGCTTTGGGAGAATGGGATTTGGAGAGGGGAGGGACTTCAGGGGGGTATCATGCCATAAGAGTCCACCCTGCAAAGCAGCCATTTTCTCCAAGGGAACCAATCTCTGTTGTCTGGAAATCAGTTGTAATGCTGGGAGCTCTCCAGTCCCCACCTGGAGGTTGGTAATCCAAGGGAGGAGCAAGGTGTGAGCAATAGATAAAGTAGCAACAAGCAACACTTTCCATTACTGGGACTCAGTGAAATCTTCCAGTAGTTTTTCATTATCTAGAAAAATGAAAAATAAAGGAATACTGATTGCTGATGGACAGCTGGGCAGATTGAAAGGTTCACCTAGTGGAGGAATGGCAAATCACTGGAGCACATTAAGTGGACCGGTTATATGAAGACCTACAACACCTCCTAGAACTAACACCAAAAAATGATGTCCTTATCATCATAGGGGATTGGAATGCTAAAGTAGGAAGTCAAAAGGTAACCGGAATAACAGACAAGTTTGGCTTTGGAAAGCAAAATGAAGCAGGGCAAAGGTTAACAGAGTTTTGTCAAGAGAACACACTGGTCGTAGCGAACACCCTTTTCCAACAACCTAAGAGGCGACTCTACACATGGACATCACCAGATGGGCAACACCGAAATCAGATTGACTATATAATTTGCAGTCAAAGATGGAGAAGCTCTATCCAGTTAGTAAAAACAAGACCTGGAGCTGACTGTGGCTCAGATCATGAACTACTCATTGCAAAATTCAGACTTAAACTGAAGAAAATTGGGAAAACCACTAGGCCATTCAGGTTTGACCTAGATCGCATCCCTGATGAATATACAGTAAAGGTGAAGAATAGATTCAAGGGTCTAGATCTGATAGATAGAGTGCCTGAAGAACTATGGACGGAGGTTCCCAAGGGCAAATATTCTTCATTTTGGTGGACTTGTACACCAAGTGGCTGGAGGTAGTGCCTGTTGCCTCCACCTCCTCCAAACACAGCAGTGACTGACAACTGGACAGCCTTCACCTCGGGGGAATTCCAAGAATTTATGGGCCACTATCTCATCCGGCACATCCGCTCCACTCTCTTCCACCCAGCCACCAATGGACAAGTGGAGAGGATGGTGTGGACCACAAAGGAGTCACTCCGGCGGATCATCCACGGAGACTGGGACCATAGACTCACAGCCTTCCTTTTCGGCCACTGGGTGACCCCAAGCACCACCACTGGCCACAGTCCAATGGAACTCCTCATGGGCAGGCGCCTAACCACCCAACTGGACAGACTGCACGCAGATCGAGCCCCTGAGCATTGCCAGGCAATGGAGAACCAGGAAGCGCTCAGAGGATTTTTCCCCGGCAACTCCGTCTACACAAGAAATTTTTCCAGCGGTCCTGCCTGGGTTCCCACCAAAGTCATCAGAGTTATTGGGCCTCTGTCATACGAGGTATCAACCAATGATGGTCAGGTTCTCCATAGACACATAGACCAGCTCCGCCACCGCCTACTTCCAGCTGACCAAGAGCGGACTCAGATCCCATAACCGTGACCCCTCAGCCAGAGCCGCGACGTTCAACCCGAGAACGTTGCCAACTAGCATACCTAAGAGACTATGTCTGTTAAGGTGTTTTGGAACTTAGGGGGGGGGTGTTATGTATTGAGCCTAAGCCACCCCTGAAAGTAGACCTTGAACTAGGTGAGCTTGCTCCCTAAGAACAATAGCTGATCAGGATCCTGGAATTGACCTATAGATAAGCAGTGTAATGTAAATAGCCTATCCTTGGGAGTGTGTGTGTGGGGTGTGGGGTGTTTGCATCCCTTTTTTTTGAGCCCCTGAAGGGAATTTTTTATTATTTTTATAAATCTACAATACTACAGAAAATAATAAGGGTGGGGTACTACATATATGGGAGAAAGGAAAGAAACCAACTATACCTAAAAACCCAAGAGAGGAGATCCTCAATAAAGCTTAGTTACATTAAGTCATAACTCTTGTAAAACAATATGAATTGAGTCAAGTTTTTCACACATTTTCACTTTTCTTTAGCAAATTTAGCTGTTCAGAAACCATACCTCCCCCATCACCACATTTATGCATCAGCAACCTCGAGGCACAATACAGAGTCCTTCAGCCTCTATTTCTCTTTTCCTCGTCTCTTCCTCAGCTTATAGGGGCTTTTGGGAGCTGCAGCTCCTTGCACCGCCAGAAAGTCCTCTCCGGAAGATTCCGTCTCTAATTCCCCACTCGAACTGTTATCGTCTTCTTTTCCTTCCTCCTCTTCTTTTCCCAGCCGAGTCTTTAAGAATTCTTTGGCTTTAAAGGCAGAGTCAATTCTTTCTTTTTTGTCTTTCATCTTGAAAGCCACTCCTTCTGGAAATAACCATTTGTATCCAATTGAGTTTGTCTGAAGATAAGTCACCAGCTCTTTGTACTTCCTTCTCCATTGTCTTACGTCAAATGGAATATCCTTAAGCACTCTAATCTTGGTTTCCCCCATTTTCAAGGGTGTTCCAGAAACTGCTTTTAGGATTGCATCCCTTATGTGCCTCTTCGAGAATCTCACAACAATCTCCCCAGGCAGATTATTCTTTTTTATATATCCTGAATATGATCGATAGACCACATCCATTTCGCTTAGTAGCAGTTCTGCCGTCATTTCTGTCGCTGGGGCCAACAATTCACTCATTAGCTCTTTAGGATTCTCTCCCAATTTTTCCGGCACACCCTGGAAGCGAAGGACCATGTTGGCTTTATCCATTTGCACCTGCAGCCATTTATCTTCCATTAAAGTTTGCTTTAACTACAACTTTTGGACTTTCTTCTTTACTTTTTCTGTTGTTGCAGCCACCTCTTTGATTTTCTCACTGTCTTGCTTCATTATCTGTATCATATCATTCATCTGGGTTTGCTGTGCTGTCAACTGGTTTTGCTGCACTGTCAGATTTTTGGTTACTTCCGACATTTCTTCTTTGATGTTATTCAACTGCTCCAGCAGAGGGCGCATACATTCCGCTACAGTCTTTGCTAGCTCATTCGTCACTTCTGTTTTAGGGCTCTCCAGTCCTTTTACTTTCGAAATCAGCTTGTCTTTGTCCCTCTTGCCCGCCATCTTTGCCATTTGTTTACTCTTTGTAAAAGTTTTTTAAAAGTCTCTGCAATGTGCTCAATCGCTTCTCTACATTGGTGAGTACATCTGAACAGTTTACTCCGCGTCTCTGCTCGCTCCCCCCTTTTCGTTTAAAATTCCATGCGCATGGGAGGTGTCCCCCCCCCGCTTGCTTTTCCCGTTCCGCTAGATGGGGTGGGGAGCATTTTTTCTTTTAAAATTAATTTCTCGGTTGACTCACGTTCATAGCTGGTCATCCGACCACTCTTCTTTCACCGTTTTAAATGCTCGATCTCCTGTGCTTGACCCGGTTAGCTTCACTAGTGCTTAATCAGCCTCTCAGCTCGAAGAACCACTGGAGCAGAGGTGAGCCTCAATTCTCTGGCATTCCGCCATCGAAGAGGCTACCCCTCAAAGCTCCTTGGCCAGGACACCTTCGCTGGTACCCTGAGGGGGGTGTTAACGAGCCTGCTTGCCCCCTTCTTCGGCCAGAGCGTGGCTACCCCCTGGGAGGTCCGGGAGGAGCGTCCGCAGTCGTGGAGCCATCGACCGGAAGTCGTGTTTGCATACTTTAAAAGCAGGACTCAAACCCTGCTGGGTGTCTTTGTTGTGTTCCTGAAATCACTAAATAAACTAGAGCTGATCACTGCAATGCGTCCAGAACTTAGTATTTAACACTTACTTAAACCCTCCATGCTTTGCTGAACCCGTGTCACCCTAGGCACTGTTTCAGAGCTCCAGACTTGGAAGATGACATCGTCTACCTAATCTGTCCAAGGTTCTTACAGGAACATGTCACATGACACCTCCTTCCCCCCATACCCAATCACACACCCAAGGATTAGTCTAAGGGCTTTAATAGGTTTTGTGAAGAGCCAGCTAAAAGAAGCAGCATCTATTCACAATCACATTATTGTCTCTGTAAAGAAAAACACATAGTAGGGCTTGGTACATAGATCTGTGCCAAAGGTATCTTCTAAGAAGAAACCAATTCTCAGCACTAAACTTCTCTAGTGCACCTGATGCCCTATAAATATTTCAGAGACAACATTCTACTGATATAGAGGAAAGAAAGAGAAAACAGCTTCCTCCAGATTCAGGGTCATGGGGGTCTCCCAGTCAAAACGGGTGAGTAGCTTTCTTGC